CTAATACACCATCAGCGTATCCTCTATATAAGTTGCATTGTCTGATTTATAACTCAACATTGGCCATAAAGAGGTCAGCAAATAATGGTGATAAGGGTGACCACATTGTAATCTCATCGCGCTGGCCACATAATTTACCATTGAATTTAAATCAGACGTTATGAGCACACAGGAATAACAATTGTTTCAGTCCATTCACTGGAATGTCATCATTGACGTTATTCTCTCGAAAACAATCCGCATGTGTGATTGGTAGTTCAAACAATCGGAGCGTTTGTGAACAGTCACTTAAGACCAAACGACAACACTTGCTCGCCTCCAAGCTTCAGGTCCTTCAAGGCTTATACAATCTTAAAGTGGTCTCGTAGATCATGTCTGAGAATTGTGATTTTTACTGGTTGCAGTAAACTGATCAGTCATTTTGCAACTGAGCAATTTGGGAAGTTGCACACATCCAGAGTAAGTCTCAAGGGAACACCATCTCCGTGTACATTCGAAAGTTCATATCATCTAGAAATGGTTATAGGCAATAAAAATAGTGAAGCGTCTTATCTTATCCACGGCCGAAGACGTGTTTCTTGAGAAATACAGCCCCTCCCTCTGTGTGCCTGACTTACTTTGTCTGCCCCAACAGGTGTGCAACCATTTGAAATTTTGACACTGTGATCAGGTTCGCACGAACACACGTTTAGAGCCGGATATGCACCATCGGGGTTATAATTTCTCGTATCCTTGTTTTTAGTTGTACTTACTTTGATCAGTTCTTTGATCCAATTGTCTCGGTTGAGTGTGAACACCTCACGAGCTATTTGAACTTCTGCTTTGACATCTGTTGCCCCATATCTACGACGTACATCAGGTCCGCCAGATTTTCTTCTCCCCCATTGATGACCCTCAGAATAATCAAGGAATGGGCATATAAAAATCGTGACCGACCTTTAGTTAAACAAACGTCAGTGATGATCAAGAATGAGATCCAAAATCTTGACAAACTCCACACTGGAACCCTTCTTCGTGACCGTAATTGCAAGCAAATCTGGAGCGCTATGAAACAACTCTGTGGAACAAAAGCCACACTACGCGGGCCTCAACCCACAGCAGATGAACTCAACTACATGTTTTCCATGTCAACTCAAACTGAAGTATCGTTTCCTTATTTCCAACCAGTTGACCATTATGAAGTTTCACATGTCAACTCTAATCAGGTACAGCTGAAGTGTCTCAAAATATCAAAAGCTTCCGGTTCCGACGGACTGTGTCCAGCCGTCCTCAGGGAATGTGCGCATTATCTGGCGGAGCTACTTGCCGGTATTTTCAACCGCTGCTTCGAGGACCAAAAAATTGTCGACTGTTGGAGACCTGTGCGCATCACACCAGTCCCCCAAAAGAAGCTGCGAAACTACAATCAATCGCCTGTGCTTCTATTTTACTAAAATTTACGAAAAGTTTATGCTTAGTAACATTATTCCCAATAGTGGGCAGCTAGAAGACAACCAATTCGCTCATCGCAAATAACGTTCTACCTTGGATGCTCTTGCGCATTTAGTAAACTTAGTTTTGCAATCCCTAGACATGCAGAGGCAGGGCATTTCGTGCGTTTCCTTGACTATAGTCTCCAATAGGACGAAGCGACGATACAGTTATGCTTTTCTATTACATTTACCACGCCTCAACAGAAATATGCCTGGAAACCAACACACGCACAGTTATTGATCACAATGAATTGCTGAACCTTGCTACTGTCAAACAATGGATACAACCAGAAGAGCAGCTAGACCCACTGGAGTTCTGGAAAAGATTCATTGAAACACGGTAAAATATCCTGAAGATTATGAAACCTTGCAGGAAACTCTTGACGCAGCTTACCGATGGTCCATCATTAATGACCTCGAATTCAACGTTGAAAAATGCAAAGTTGTATCGCTGCACCACAGGGGTCGCTTTCCATACTTGGAACTCAACCATTGCCGCGTACTCCAAACAAAAAGGACCCGGGAGTTATCGTTCATGAGGATCTAGGGTATTCCACACATTGCGCAAGACCGTCTTCAAAGGCTATAAACACGTTAGACTGCTAAAACGTGTTCTTGGATCATTCGAAATAGACCTATTACCCTGTTTATTATCAGCATACATTAGATCACACACCGAGTATGCAATGCAGGCTTAGGATCCATGACTTATTTGCGACCAAATGGCACTTGAACGTCCGCAGAGAACAGCAACCAAAATGGTCAAAGGGTTACAATCTAAGACTTACGGTGAAAGACTGCGAATTCTCGGACTCTATTGGTCTGAATACCGTCGAATACGGGGAGACATGATCCTCGTTTATCAAATACTACATCAACCTAACCACCCGTGTAGTACTCTAGTGACACTATCCAGGAATGGTCACCTCTGAGGACATCCGTTTAAACTTCTGCTCCAAAAGAGCTGGCTCGACTGCAGGCGTCATTCTTTCAGCCTCAGAGTTTGTAACACCTGGAACTCCCTTCCACCTCAAGTTGTTGGTGCACCAACCGTCGATTCATTCAAGTCACGACTGAATGAAACATTGAACCACCTAACTTCACTCAATACCCGTGAGTGAATGTCAGAATTTGCTATTCATTTGTACTACCAACCAAACCCAGTGTGTACAGACCTTATGGGAATAAATAAACATCCACTTTGTAATTTACCCATAATAAAAATTCGAATTTGAACGCTTTTATCTGTGTTGACAGGAACAGGCTTTTGTCTCTACTTCAAGGTGCTGGATTGTCCCATAATACCCTCTCTCTACTCTAAGAGTATTCTCCTGGTAGAACAGAATTCACCCATTTGTTTCGCCAATATGATATGCTCCTTATCAACAATCACACTGTAATTACGTGTGTTTTGGTGGACAGTGGCTGGGGTTGTCTTCTGGATGAAGTGGGGATGCGTGTGGTTGTGTAGAAGACGATTGACTTGGCGAAATTATCAGGGCCGTCATATACTGTGGGCGTTTGGTTCGATGTCCCACTGAAGTTCTTAGTAGAACTGCCTGGACGATTTGATTTGCAACATTCTAAGTGGGTTTTATCATATTTTTCAATCGTTCTTGGAAAGTCAAGCTGATATTGTCGCCTTAAACGGTAAGGCAAATGTAGACCTTCTTCCTGAAGATGTCATATACTAATGGTCCTTGCTCCAGTTTTCCACTTAACTTCGTAACAAAATGGCCTGTTCTTGACTGTTCTCGACGTGAATTGATTAGAGTTGGTTTCAATCCACCCATAAGCAATTGTCGGTGCAAATACAACCTGCCCGATGGAAAGGTGTTTTTACTACACATCTCGCTTGTGGTTGATTGGCACGAAACTACGGAAATGTATATTTTCACGAGGGCAAGAAGAAGCATCATAAGATCACAGAATGTGTTGAATTCAAATGTTTCTCAGCAGCTGTGTACACATACATTCAAATCACATTTGGTTACAAGAGTGATCACGATGCCTGTTCTCGCGCTCATGAAAATGTTAAAGAGAACTGGTTGGAGGAAGTATGTATGTCGACCAGTCCGTGTACTATTGTGGTATACGGTCATACAAATCGTTCGCGTTCGCCTTTTTGTCATTAGAATGTCACAAAACGGGAGGCGATCGTATGGTTCTTTTTCCAGCGATAAATGAACATTCTTGTGCAAACTTTTGGTGACTCGAAGTTACTTATTGCCGGTCTTTTCATTTATATAAATATGTATATATATTTTACAGTAGGTCG